AAAAAAAAAAAATGCACTTCTACTGAAGAAACCATGTTCCAACACTGCAAAAAAATGTGTTCTGCTTAAGCAGAACAGATATACTGCCCCCCCCCGCCCCCATCCATCCCTTCCTTCACTGTTCCCATCCCAACTCAAGCCATGTCATTCTTGGCACAGTGTTCTGAGTGGTAAGAATGCTTGGGCCACCTAAGGTAAGGAGACTTGGAGGGGCCTTACATGGTTAAGCACACCAGAATCGAAGAGAAAAAAGGTCAGCTGTCTTCATCTAGGATTTCTGGATGTTCCTTCCAGAACGCATCCCCGATGATATCGCAGTGTAAGGGCACTGGCTTAGTCCTGGTCCGGGTTACTGCCATCTTTTTTCCTTCCATTTCTGCTGGCAGCTTAACTTCTTTTGTTGTGACTTCATCCACCTACGGATAAAAGTTAAAGTAGTGACACTGTTAACTTGAGAGTAGGCTGGGGAAAGAAGGAAGATGTGGGCTAAGTTCACTTTTTTACTTTACTTCTGACTGCCACATTTTTTATATATCAACCTGCAAAAAGCTCTTTACAATTAAAAATACTTTGACTAGCTCTCAAGGTACCTTTTAGTACTTGAAAACATTCATTTCAGAAAAAACTATTTTACATGGAAGGAAATAAATTTTGAGAAATCATTATGCCCAAGAGCTGTCATAGAAAGAAAATACTAGTAGAATTAAGGGTTTAGGTAAACGTACAGAATATTAAGGTAAGTATGAATGGGGAATCTCCTAAAATTTCTGAAAATGACAAAATCCTCTATACAACATCTCTTCTCACCTCATAGTTGTCATGGGATGGATGGGCCATTTAATGATATTATCCAGTATGGGAGAAAGTATTTTTTAAGTGTTCTACAAATGGAAAAATCCTCATATCCTCACATTTTAAAAATGGTTTTATTTGATATGGGGAGAGTTTATGACACACAAAAATAAGTGCACTAATTCCAATTCTGTGATTCTACCTACATATGGGAGATTCCAGACCACTAACTGATGAAATGAGCATCCAAAATAACAAACTATAGCATCTCTTTTTGGAAAGAATCTAGTTTGTGTTAGCAACTGGAGTCACATCAGCATACAGAGAGCTGGCTGGACAAAGCTTGGGATGGGCACAGGCTCTCTATTCTCCTGACCTCCGTTGTTCTCTGAATATAACATTACCTTCTGCCATATCAACACAGTCCCTTTCCTATACATCAATGGCTCATTATTGTAGTTGATGTTGAATTCAGAAAACAAAATCTCATTCTTGTCTGCTGCGAGAGTTCCCTGAGGAAATAAAAATAGATATAAAAAGCTTTGTATGTCTTCTTTCTCCTGTAATGCTACCTATCCTTTCTACCCTCTATTTAAACTTCCACAAACAAATCAAGAAGTGGAAGGATTTTACCAAACATCTTAGAGTTACTAATGAAGTTTTATTTTAAGGGCAATTCAAATCTTACTTAGATGTCCACATTCATAAAATTCTCTTCTGTAAGAGCTTATAAGTCATCGAGACTGTGAGGGAGTGAGAGGACTAGCAGTAATTGAATACCTATTACAAATTAGGTACTTTTTGTTTCTTTTTTAAATTCAATTATTATAACCATCTCCACTTTAGAGATGAGAAAACTGAAGCTTAGAAATATTATACAAATTGTTGTCGGCCTGTGGCTCACTCGGGAGAGTGCGGTGCTGATAACACCAAGGCCACGAGTTCGGATC